GCTAGGCTCTCTGTCCTTTTGTGGCACCAAGCCATTTTGCCCCATCCCTCAAAGACATCCGTACCGCGCTGCTTGGCTGCTCTGGGCTGGCTGGCTGCCTGCCTGCCTGACTGCCTGCCCGTTACCTTTTTTCCGAGCCTCGCGTCCCATTGTTTCAGCCTGTTTTTCAAATTATAGCCTTCTCTTTTCAGCGATTGCTCTTTCTTCTCATCCAGCGCGGACGACATCGGCGCCGCCACGTGCATCGACAAGTGCACGCGTATCGATTGCTGCGATTGCTATGTCGGCCGAAACGCTGATCCGCGGCCACTCTTCACGATCGATTAATGCTCTGGAAAGAACGTGCACTGTTGGCTTGACGCGCGCCCCCGCCCCTGCCATGACGTGCGTGCGTGCAGCACTGCAGACCTCCCTGATTGCCGAGGACTTCAACAGCTTTTGTAAACCTACCGCATTATCCGCTCGAATCTCAAAATGACAAAACTTCAAAGGCATCTTGCCGCTTCTTTCGACTAAAATTATTGCTTCTGCCGCTCACAGACTCTTGTGTGGTATATATCCATCAGAGCATATATACATGTATGGCGACATTTCCCACCAACATCCTGCGGCCCACACCGAACGGTCTTTATCTTTCTGGGATTCGTTTTATTCTTGCTTTTTATAAGCAACCCCGTGCTTTCCACAATTTGCTCATTCCTTGTCACGCTCATTTCGTACAATTCACTTTTACAAAATCAGTCATCGCAAGGTTCGATCGATTTATCGCCATGTCTCGATCCCACACCACACATGCTTCAGCATATTTTCTTTCAACGACCTCTTTTATTTCAATTCGTTTAAAGATTATATACATAACTTCATAAAATATCGATAATCGTCATCTCGCATTATAGGGAATGGAATATTATAAATATAACAGAACTTGTACACTTCTCGTTCTCCATTGCTCTTATAAGCGAGAAAAATCAAATGATGTGCAAGTGTACAATAAATACAAAACTACGTGTGTACTCTTATAAAAGCACTAATTACATTTTATATATATTATGTAAAATCATTTTATTGTTTCATCTCATACATCTATGATTTTTTAATCGTTTTATGTCAGGGTTGGGCAGTAACGTTGTTATTTAACAAAATTGGACGTGAAAAATTCATCGAGTGTAACGTCCTTAAAACAGTATGAAGCAAAATTGGGCCCGATCGGTGTAGGTAAAGAAATGATAAAACAATTTTTGACGTTTCGTTAACTCATTCGTTCGTCTCCTCGAGAATTTACCAATAAAAAAGAAAAAGAACGCAACATTGAAACACTAATTACAGGTATGATCTGTGGTGACCATAAAATTACTTACAATTAAATTACAGTATAGCGTACCGTTAGTCAGAGCAAACCATTTTGTCAGCTCAATAATAAAGTGGAAAATCGTACCTTTATATGCTGACGAAACTGTCACTCTGTTTAGATTCATTATTCATAAAATGTAATTTTTTCAGTTGAATACATACATGTTGTAAGATACATTTTATCGGATATTTATTGTTTAGTAAAACGTCTATAATGTTTTGCCTGTTTCGTTTATAAAAACATTTATTCTTCTAATAGTAAAAATGTACAATCAACCAATTAATATATAATATTCTTTTTGTATGTAAGTCGATGATTCAACAACAAACGTATCAATCTACCAGAAGAAATTTCTTTTTGATAAAAGTTGGTTTGGATTCTTTTGTTTTGCCTAACAATAGTGGTATCTAGAAAATTCAGTTGAAGTAAACTTCAGATCGTTGTAATATTGAATACTTGAAGAACTGTATCAATTTTATGGTGCTTAATAATTAAAAAGGTATCGTCTACATAATAGATATAATTTGGGAACACAAGAAAATCTATTATCAAGTGCAGTCAGGTAATTTTCTAGATAATTTTCTTGATAGTTTAATACTGTATCAGAAAATAAAACTTATTATCGAATTAAAAATAAGTTGACTATATAACAATTTTTTAATATTTGTAATATCAGTAAATTGAATTCCTGAGTATTCTGATATTATGGATACTACAATCCAAGCTATTACGTACTAGATTAAACGGTATTTTAGTAAACAATATTTTAGTAAACTACATCTAAAGAAACAAACGAATCTTTTGAATCAAGGTGAACTTCAGATAATTTTTCCATAAATTCAAAGCTATGCCAGATTTTGGCAGTTTAATAGATCTTTAAATCTTTTATGTTGATTTTGATATAAAATTTTTGCTAAATTGTATGTCGGGTTATTATTAGTCTAAGAAATAATCGGATGACATAAGTGTATTCATTAATGTGCATATGCGTGAACATAGCTATGAGATTGTTCTTGATTTTGAATTGATTAAATTGGAATAAACAAATTGTATCTGAAATGTTATATATTGATGACTAAATATTTTTTCCCGATTAATTAATTTTTGCTGTTCCTATAGTTCTACTCGATTAACCCCGACTAGGATACTTTGCTGTCGTTGAATATTGTATTATAAATAATTTAACTTTCACCGCTGACAATATCTTTAATCGATGTTCTAATGTAATGTTTTTTTTTCTTTTTTATTGGCAAATTTCCGAAGAGATGAACGAATTGGTTAATGTACCGTCAAAAATTTTTTCATCGCTGCTTTCTTACACCGATCGCGCTCAATTTTCCTTCGTATATATAAATGGCAGGTGAAAATAAACTGAACTGCCCTTACATCAATGTTGTTACATTTTTATTAGTAACAGCTTTAAGAGTGACGTTCTTTCATTTCTAATAATGTCGTCGCTTTCTAACAAAAATTTTTCAAACACAATTTCAACGAGAAACCTTATTTTTATGTAGAACTATAAAAATATTTCTGCTAAAAACTGGCCAACTTTTAAATCTTCTCAACTATTTGATCTTCGCGTTGTTGCAGTAATTTTTTACAGGTGCAACCGCAGCTTCCGACGTTCGTCTCATGACTGACGAGTCGTGGAGCACTTAATAAAGCATAACTTTTCGCTGAATCGCGATATTTTAAGCGTAACTAAAAACGAGAACTAATTGCAAGTGCTCGTGAGCTTAATGCAATCTAACTGTTATAGGTTTTGGGCAACCTTGACACACGGATTTGGTTTGTCTTTCGGTTGGCTAGTATTGCGTCAGTAGTAATATCATTGTTTCCCTTTGAAAATGGTTTAGAAACTAACGTGTCACTTTTTGCTGTGGCGTCGTTACGAAACTTTTTAAAATCAACAACTTTACCTTTATTAAGTAAATTAGTAGCGGTAAAGTAAGGGTAGAGTCCAAGCTGGGCTATAATAATACTATAGTGTAAGTTCAAATTTTTAAGAATTGCTTCTTTTACCTATAAATTACTGTAACTTGCTACACGTGTAGTTGTAATAATAGGAAAAAAAAATATTATTACTATACTTCATGAGTAGTGCTTATAAAATTTCTGTCAATTATTAGGCGATTATTTGTATTGTACAATGTGAGTTGACATAAAATTGGATTATCTTTACTATTAGCAATTAGTTAATATTTCATACGATTACTTTTTTGTGGATACAATTTGGGATCTAATATAAGAATACAGATTTTCATTTCTATAAGTTATAATTATTGCGTGTAATATAACATCCTAATCAATTAAATTTATTCAATCTAGTATTAAAGTGATTCCGAAAATGTGTGTAAGTATACATATATCAATAATTATAAAATATAGTCCATTGTTATATTTTTACGGTGCATCTTGATTTTCATATAATAAACATAATTAGATAACGTTATACGAAAAAGTATAATATTATGCTTTTTTTATGCCTCGAGGTAAATGTAAATAGACACCATACGCAGCATGCTCACGCAAGCTAAAACTTTCATCGCTGAAATCGTAACATACCGTCGACTATTTGCTTATTCTAGTTCCGTTTCGTTAATGCTATTCGATTTGTAATACGTCAACAATGATGATAAATTCGGTGTAATGACATGTCATCAATAAATCAAAAAGATATACAAGTGAAATCATTAATGTTGATGTTCTCAATAATGCGAAAGGCATATTAATATTTCAAGCACGTTTTTCCAGCTTATTTGTTTCAACTTTTTTGAAATTTCGGTAATTCATAGAATAGTATGATACGTTTTCCTTCTTTTAAAAACGTGTGCAAAACGATGAATAGGTCCACTTTTTTATTTATTTATAAAATAAACCATTTTGCGAAAATTCTTCAAACAGTTTATATTCACATAAATTATTAATGTACGTCTGTGATGTGTGACTTTGTTAGGACTCGTAGAACTACGTGGAAAAAATATATGGTATTGATCAATCATCGTCTACAGCTTACGTTTGTTGAACGACAAAAAACAACGGCGAATAAAGTAAGTGGAAGTGAATTTTGGATACTTGTGCACAGCTGCTCCAAAGGTATTAGTTTGTTCGTTCAAATCGAGAAAAAATTGACGGGCGCTACTATAAAGCGAAATCGAAAGCCGGAACGAGAAGCGTTGCGCGCAGGGTCCGGGATGCAAGAGCCGTCAAGGAGAAGAACAAGTAGATGCGCCATAAAGACAAGAGCAATGTCAGCGTCATGATCATGGCCAGTGTAGCAGGTAACTGCCGGTAGACTGTACAGCGGCTGGTCGGTCGATGCACGAGCAGAGGCCACGTAGGCCGAGCTGGGTGCAGGGCAGCGCTGCGGAGCGCCGGCACGGGCTTCCCCCCTTCTCTTGACGCCGCGGCCCTTTGGCGACGCAGTGGCGGCGCGACGAAGCCCGCGGCGCGCAGTCCAGACCAACGGCGCCCATTGGCGGCGGGTGCGCGCGGCCGCGGCCCCCACCGGCCGCCACCGGCTGCGATTGGCCGGCGGCGCGGAGGCCCGGCCCAAGGCGCCGCCAGCGCGCTGGGCGGGGCCTCGGCGCCGCCACGGAAGCTATAAGAGACCCCGCGGGCCGGCCGTGCCGCAGACGCGCGTCCCCGATCGCTCCGAGAAGGTGGCTCCGCGCCACGCAGCGAGCAGCTCGAACAGTCGGAACTCGGTAGCGCAGTGCCGCCCGGCGCGGCGGCCAGTGAACGCGTCCGCAGTCACGTAGTGAACCGACCTGCCAGTGCGAGTCGCGGACAAAGTGCGTCGGGTCGGGGATAATGGTGAACATGGAGGGATCGAACGAGCAGCTCACGGTCTCGGCCTCGCCGCCGCCCGCGCGCACCAGCCTCGGCAAGAGCAACTTCAGCATCCGCGACCTGGTGCCGGAGGCGTGCGCCGGCACGTCGAGCCGCAGCCACTCGCCGCTCGACGAGCGCAGCGACGACTCGAGCGAGGACCTGGACGTGACGGGCGACGCCGAGGGCGCGGACACGCCGCCGCCGCTGGACTGCAGCGCGCGCGGCGCCGACGGGCCGCGGCCGGCGGCGGGCGCCGAGCCGGCCGACGGCGCCAAGAAGAAGGCCGAGAAGCCGCCCTACAGCTACAACGCCCTCATCATGATGGCGATCCGGCAGAGCCCGGAGAAGCGGCTCACGCTGAACGGCATCTACGAGTACATCATGCGCAACTTCCCCTACTACGAGAACAACAAGCAGGGCTGGCAGAACTCGATCCGGCACAACCTGTCGCTGAACAAGTGCTTCGTGAAGGTGCCGCGGCACTACGACGACCCGGGCAAGGGCAACTACTGGATGCTCGACGCCAGCAGCGAGGACGTGTTCATCGGCGGCACCACGGGCAAGCTGCGCCGGCGCAGCACGGCCGCCTCGCGCTCGCGGCTGGCCGCCTTCAAGCGCAGCGCCGTGCTGCAGGGCCTCTACCCGGCGGCCTACGCGCCGCACGTGTCCTGGCCGGCGACCGCCGCCTCGCTCTACGGGCTGCCCTACCTGCCGCGCGCCGCCTACGCGACGCCCGCCGGCTACGCGCCCGGGCTGCTGCCCTGCAAGCCGCAGCCGCTGCCGGCGGCGCCCGCGGCCAGCCCGCCGCGCGCCCACGGCGGCTTCTCGGTGGAGCGGCTGCTGCAGGCGCCGGCGGCGGCCTACGCGGGCCCGGCGCCGCCCGCCGCCGCCCCCTACGAGTTCTACGCGACGCTGCGCAGCCTGGCCGCGCACCAGCACCAGGCGGCCCTCTTCGCGCAGCACCAGCAGCACCAGTCGCGGCTCTACGCGCAGCAGCCGCCGGCGCTGGGCCGCGCGGCCTCGGCGGCGGCCTCGCCGGGCAGCAGCCCCGAGCCGGCCTCGCCGCACGCGCCGCGCTCGCCGCCGCCGCCGCCGCCGCCGCCGCCGCAGCTGCTGCTCAAGCCCATCACCGTGCTGACGGGCCGCCAGAGCTGAGGCCGGCCCGCCTTCGGGGCCCGGCCGTCCTAGTCGCCGCGACGCACCAGTGATCGCCCTCGCACTCGCGCCTCTTGTACAGTTCCGCTCCCCTGTAAATACTCTCGTGGCGCCTGCCTCCAGTACTCCTCGGTGTAAATATTTCTGTAGATAAAACACGTTGAAAGCTTTATTAAACTTTAAACGACTGCAACGATAGCCGGGTACTTTGTCGTACCGTCTGGATTATTCTTGCCAATTTGTACATACGACCATTATTGCAAAGATTATTATTATTATTATTATTATTATTATTATTATTATTATTATATCAATTAGTACTAATGCAATACTATCGATGTCGACGAATCGAAGCCATCTGTAAATATTATGCATAGATTTATTTCGATGCAGAACGAGGAGAGATAAGACATGTTGTAGACACGTACATTGAATAAATGTCCAAGTTTTTTTATAAAATATCTGCCTTTTCAATGGCTTCCGACGGTCCTCATTCCGTTTCCTCTCCCTCCCTTCCGTTGCCCTCGCCGGCACTTGTATGTATTTTTTAATTCCAATAATTTTCAATCGCTTCACTGCACAGCTTTGCTTTCGACTTGACTTCGACGATACGGGCATCTACATACTTTGATCAAATTTTCATTGAGCATTTATTATAAATTTGACTTTTAAGTAATATTGCATTCACCAAAAATGATTAAAGCGAGGATCTAACTCTTTGAACGTCGGTAAAAAAAAGCCTCGGAACACTGTCAAGTTAAAGTGAAGTCGTAGAAAGAAATTGCAGTGATGTTCTGCGCACGTTCAATTTTGAACTTGCTCGGTGATTCTTTCCCGGAGTTAAGCTGTGGAATCACAATTTGCTTGTCAAACAACAACGTATAACTTCATCTGCTACTGCCGTGGTAACATTTGAATCGCAGGTAAAACATCTGCTTTCATTGAATATGTTAGGCGAAAATGTTGGCCTATTGAGAAATCGAGTTTAGGGTACCTCGTAAAATTAACAGGCAGAACCCACCGACTATCAACACATTGCTTGTAAAATGTTGACTTCTTAAGCGAAACCAAACTATAGGCTCAACACGGATTTTCCTGTAGTCAACCAAACGGTTGACAAAATGGCTTTATAGCATAATGGCGTAATCATAAATTAACCATCGTTCAAAGATCTCGCTTTCAAAATGTCACCCAATAAGACGCCATGGACCTTTAGGGAACAATCCAAACACAATATATATTTACGGAAGACATCAATCCTTCAATTTTATCATTGCAATAAATGTTCGAGAAAACTATTTGATAGATATTTTAACTTTTTTTTTACGTTGCGTAACTTTTGTTTTAATTCTTGTGGTAACATAGGTACAGCACGTAATGGAGTGACCCTGCATTTCAAGTATGATTCATCAATATTTAATACATTTGAAATTGATGGCACCGTGTCTATAGGGTATCGATAAAAAAGTTAGTGTTTCTTCATAAATTATAAATAATTTGATGCCATATAATCATAGTCGTTACATGTTTCATAGTAAAATAATTACTCGATTCCGGATATTTAATTGCTCACAAAATAAATAATATTTTTCGCTGTTTCATTATATTTTTTTACCATAAAGCTTTTTAAGAGCTTAACGAATCGGTTAACTAAACGTCAAAAGTTGTTTTCTTTTCATTATTGCCTCCACCGATCGTATATAGCTGTATCTACAGTAAAATTATAGCAGGTGAGAACAGCGATCAAACATCTTTTTTAATCTATTTATTTAATTTCTTTCCATTCCTAATCAATAGTAATAACAAAAACTTAATTTTTTTAAATTTTTCTCTTAATATATGGAAAAATCCACGGAACCTTTAATTTTTCTGTCACTCGACTTTTTATCTTGGGAAAATGTTTTTCAAGTGGATATAAAGTATGTAGCCCTTAAATTTCGATGCTGCACTAGTTAATTTAATTATATTTGACCGTTCAAAAATTATCTGCTATGTTTCAAAAACTTTAAATAATAAAATTATTGAGAAATTGGATTGTTATTAAACAATACTTTAAATTATTTCTACTTTTGCTCATAACTTTTTGAAGTCATCATGAATTAATTTAAAAGTTTCAGGAAATATTCCTTTAATTAAGGATTTTGAAGTAAGTACACTCGTATTGGTGTGCTGTTCAATGCTTTACTGTAATCTACACTTTAATGAGCGATACTCCGTTTTGGGTAATTAAATTTGTTCTTTGACATTTTCATGCATAACTTTTTGAAATATTTAAAATTTATAATTTCAATTTCATTATAACTTAATTTTCCAACAAACAACCAAAATCTATACTTTTAAAATTCAAGTGCCATTAAAAACGATGAAGCTAGAAAGCAAAGTATTTTGAAATACACCAGCGTAACTTTTTTTCAAAACTATATTTTTCATATGCACAGCTCCTATTTTCAATTTTACAAGTCAAAACATCTTGTGATGTATGCTCATTATAAAAGTCTACTACTAAAATCTTCTCACCAGATTTTCAGTTCTACGAAAGCTTCAAAGCTTTGTTTATTGAAAAAATTTATTAATATTATAAGACATTGGAAAAATATTGAACCAAGGAATATCATAACACAATATATTGTAAATAAATGAGAATATATTGAAAAAAGTCGAAAATGTATGATATTACCGTACAAATTCGTATGACGTATCAACAGGTATGACATTTTTTCGACAGAGTACGCATTACCAATTCGAGACCTTATTGCTTACATATTTGATCGCTTGTATCGATTAATGTAAATATACAGTAGCGTCATTTGAGGACTCTGACAATAGCCTCAGTATACGATCAGTAGTCACGGATTTCACCTTATGTGCTTATAACAATGAAAATAAATCAATTTTTTTAATTTTCATGATAACACAGTGAACATTTTATATAAATGAGTAACACGGATATATTTTTTACTTCTAGCGGTCCAGAATCATGTCTAACAAGTGTGTTTCAAAATAAAAAGATTAATCACACTTTGAAAAATAATTAAACGTTCCGTGTATTTCTCCATATACTTTCACAAATAGGATATAGATAGATAGATAGATAATACGATTTCCTGTATCTCTATTGTATGATTCATGAGAAAATTCAGTATAAACTACTTATGTGTAATATATCACAAAAATATTAGTTTATTACACTTATTTTTATAATAACAAATCATTAGCTTATTGTAAAACCGTAGTAGTTTAGATAATTCTCGCACAGAATTTTTTTAGCAAAATGACCAAAGATGTTATATTGGAACATGACTGTTTAACCCTAGATTACATTTGTATTTTTATACATCAACTATAAATATATTTTATAAAATCATAATCGAGTATGCTGGGTATGGATGTTTGTAGATACTTAATGTTATGTATCCGACAATAAACTTGAATACACTGTAAATTTTATTACTATTATTTATGTACATTATTGAATGATTGATAGACGTCTAAAATAGTTTATTCCAAGTTGTTTGTTTTAATGTTTGTACATAAGGTTTAGTATGAAGAATGGACCGATTCAGTAAATACCGAAAATTAGAAGCAAAGAAATTCAAATAGAATTTGTTATTGTAACAATCGCATAGGTCAGTCGCTGCGAATATGAATTATGATGTATATATCATTCGAATTTGCTGTTTGTCAGTTATAGATCTAAAATTTTTAAAAAGTTACAATCGTAGCAATATGCGTTTATTCAATAAAATTGATAATCAAGTTTTATTAAGTTTAATTATCTATTAAATTTTTCATTAGACAGAGTTTGGAAAGAAAACAACATTTTTCATTCCCGAAATGTAGCACGCTGTACTTTGATAAAACGTAATTTCTGTTTATGAGGTTTATGGGCGACCTAATCGAAACTCAAATTCGTATGTTTCAGTAGGAAGTGGGTAATTAGTTTGATGACATAACAGTTTCAATAATACAATGAAAAGATGTAGAGCAATTAACGACGCATGCAGCGTTATGTTTTTGACACTACGGATCGAAACGATGTAAATATAGAGGGGCGGTTGGGATAAAACGATCCCCTAATGCTTCACTCAGCACTTATTTTCAGATCTTTCATGTTATTAAGTGAGTCTGAATCGCAAATAGATTCGTATCTTTATACCTGGGCGATCAAAATTTTCGGAGGAAAAACATAGACATGATTTAGACGTTGCTACTTTCAAAGAAATCTATTTGGATGATTGGGTACGATGATAGCTCGTGCTACAATAGAATTGTTAACAACGGTGTTTCAAATAAATTTACGATGCATCAAACACAGGTGAATTGTTTGCGATGTAAAAGAAGACGCCTGTGGAGTCGGACGTGAATGATTACAATAGAAATTACAATAGAAAGGATCGCTGGCATCGGTTCGTAATGACACATTTATATTTTATAGTCGCACAGCTTGGGATCGTTGGAATAAATGAGAGGAAAGCGAGGAAAAGCTTGTGACAACGGGGGGATTGATGTTGCAACAAGTAGAGTCGAGACCGAGATTTGACTCGATGAGAATAGCAATCAACTGGATATGTGAGGATATAATACGCTCGTCTTGGCTGGTATGGGTTCGGACCCAGAGGGAGGTGCACCGCGCACAGCCACCAGTCGCACGGATGATTGACGAGAGGTCGGATTAGACGAAGAAGCGCAGGCAATGGCTGGCCATGGGATAAGGTCGCGCGAGCAATAACTAGGGGCGAGCGCGAGAGGCAGCGCGAGAGACAGCGCGCGTACGTGGCAGCATCGCAAGCATCATATAGGCATTGCGACAATGAGGCGTAAATAAGATAATGGCCGGCCGCTCACTCGAGAGCAAGAGCGCGCGCTCTTGAAGGAGCGCAGCTCTGTCGGTGGCGTCGCGGCGGTGAGCGTTGCGTCTGGTTGTGCGTGGTCCGGAATTGATGCGCGCGCCAGCGCAACGCTCACGCGCGCGCACGGCCCGGTGGCAAAGTCGCTCGTTTGTCGAGTCGAAGCCCGTGGGCGCTGCGTCGCTCGGCTGGCGCGCCGATTCGGATCGACGGATCGACGGCTTTGCGTAGACGTTGCGCGAGACTCACGCATAACGTAGCAGTGGTCGATCGATAGAGGCTGCGCGCGAGTGCGCTCGTACCGACTGGAAGGTGCAGCGCTGCCCGGAGAGAAAACGTGTAGGAGCCGCATAGCTTCGCGTAGCGTGTGCGCGCGAGCAAGGGGACGGCAAACACTTGGCCGGCCAATTGGCCCAAGTGGCAAGTGCTCTCGCTGGTATGCACGCCCAAGGTATTGACTTTGCCTCGCGCTCGCTTTCGCATCTTCATACTTATCCGTTAGCCCGCTCTCTCTCTCTCTCTCTCTCTCTCTCTCTCTCTCGCTCACTGCTCGCTAGCGCTTTATTGCTGTTTGTTTCTCTCTCTCGCTC